ATGTGATCATAATTTCCCATGGACATTGAATTAAAATGCTATCAAAGCTACGTACTCTGAGGTCTATTTGGTATATATGCCTATACTGTGTAATAATGTGTAAAAGGAAAGCTTATTAAAACTACGGACCCTAAGGTATAATTGGTACATATATAAATAGCATATCATTTGACCTAAGTTTTTCTATATTATCGATAAAGCGTGTAAATTGGAATGTTATCAAACTATGGAATCGGAGGTCTATCTAGTAATAAGCCTATCATCACACAAAAGTATTCCAATACTGTTGGGAAAGCATACAAATAGAAACTAGACATATTTCACACTCTGTTACACGCATTGGATTAGAATGATTATATAAGACTGTTCATGTCAATAACGAAATGTATCTAAAAGAAAGTAATATTAACAGCAGTTATTTATGGATGGGTAATATGAAGTAACCAAACAGTGAAAGACAAACAATAACTAGACATATTTCAACACTATGAAGTAAGAATTATTCAACTGTTTCAATTCTTAGATTACAAAAAAATCACACACACAAAAATATATAAAAAAAATAAATAAAAAACACACAAAAAAAAAAAAACCACAAAAAAACAAAAAAAAAAAAAAAAAAAACAAAAAAACAAAATAAAACAAAACGAAAAACCAAGAAAATACCAACATGACAATATAGTGATAATTCAAACTCATATACAATAAAACTAGGTCAATAGATGAACAAAAGAAAGATCTGCACATAACCTCTTAAACAAGTACAAGGGGAATAAGACCAGATGTTCTGGAAAAGTAGGCGTCTATTGTTTCATCGATTTCATCAACGACAGCCGTCATGTAAACCTTGTTAAAATGTAGTGTTAAGAACAAAAGATGGATTGGTGACGCATATGGTTTGTAGCCTTCAAATGTACAATTTGACAAAATATATACATGATTTTAAATATGTCGAGGACGATGGAGACTTTCCAGCAACACAGATAAATATATAGGAATGATCAGTCGTTGTGTTGTTATCATTTTAAAGTATCGTATAAGGTATTAAAGTTTCAAAACACGACAGGAAAGTTGTTTCATCTGTGTATAAAATACTGACATTAAATGCTGGAAATTATGATATGACGTAAACACGCATTTACTCACGACTGTCAAGTGGCATTCGTCTTGCGATACACAGCGTCATAGGTATGCCATTAATGCGTTTAACCGTATCTGCTGTTGATATCAATGACGACAACGACGACGTGGAGTTCCTTGGTGGCTACACAACATACATGTGCTGGACACTCGGCTTATGCCTTTCATTTCAATATGAGGATGAGCGTCCTACCTAACGTCACATCGACTTAATCGCAAAATTGTTGGTTTGGAGATTCGAAACATATGCTGCTCCGAGTTGGCATTGTCGAACGACCATAGAAAAGCAACATGTCCGTTGGCTAAAAGTCGTTATGACTATTTTCCAACTAGTCTTGGCGTTTCTAAATAAAATAACACATACAAGCATGTCCTTGTACTATGATTATTTAAAAAAAATACTAGACACTATTTTTCATGCATCTTTTTTTTTCTCTATGTGTGTACAAAACTTAAGACCGACCTCAATTGTGAACAATTGAAAATCACAGGACAACAGACACCAAGATCCCTCTGAGATGACAGTTACTGTCCTGAACTATCATATATGGTACCACCTATCCACATAAAACTGTATGTAGTTGAATGGAATGCGTAATGTACTATTTTTTCTGTATGCAAAATTTAGAATAAAAATAATCACATTGTCCTCAAGCAAACGTTTTAAGAGTGACACCCGTTTTAATATCTACTCCAAGAAATCGTGTCATCTGTTTTGAAAAAAAATAAGGATATGTGATACGTTATTCAAGACAATGTTAACAGATTTCGAGCGTTATTGACCTATCATAATGCATTATTGTGACATTAATCTCAATTATACCTGTCTTTGTCTCAGTATAAACAATGTAAAGTTTGGTAAATACATGTTTTGTTTCGTTAGACTTATCCAACATTTGGAATGCCAGCCAGGAAAGGGACAATACAATGTTTAAGAGCAAGGCTTATCAATACTAAAATAGTATGACTTCCGTCTTCAAATTACGTATATTTTGAAATACCAATACATATATTAACTCCATTATCAACACCTGACAAATCATTGTCAAATTGTTGATTTAAAATAACAGCTTTGAAGAATTACGAACCATTATTGTAGATTCAAACTTTTATTTCCCTGTGGAAATCTTTTGTTTGTTCATAGCTTGCCGTCGTATTTGAGTTTAGATAATGATTATGTTGATACATTGGTATTTTCATTATGCTTTTTGTTTGTTTCTTATCACACGATTTGCCCAAAAGCCACACCCAGCAGAATCATATATAAGACCGATGTTTCGAGACATGCAGACAAAGTCCATAAACTTTCTGACATCGGAAAACGCTCAAAAATTGCCAAAAAATGGAGCACGTCAAGGGAAGCAATGAAAAAATACAAGTTGCTAAGAAGAAAATCGATGCGCCAGCCACGATTGTACACTAGAAACAACAGGTACACAACTTTTATATATATGCATATATATGTTTGAATACTAACCTCGCTATCACATTCCCGACAAATTATAGTGGGCAATCCATTTCAGTTCACCGATATCGTTATCCATGATCCCTAAGAGATCAAAGAAACTGAAATAGAATGATCTATTTCTACAAATACCTAGCATGATAACAAATAAACTTAATTCTCAAAAAGTATTGGGCGGTTATTACTGTTTATTCATATTACTTTCCTGATGTAATCGTACTCTTCAATATAGTATCAGATTGAAAATCAGGCAAATTAAAAGTGGTTTCGAGTAACCCTACCATCCATGGTAACCTTCTAGGAATGATTGCACGAAATACACAGAAGTGATTAACACTTGAAAACAACTTTAGAGTGAGATACATGAGAACTATACAATGAATAAACACTGTAACATACAGCTGTTTCTTCTTCTGGGACTCGTCCTTCATGTTTAAATTCTGAAGCGCAGGATCTAAGCTTCCACTTAAGTACATAAAATTTGTTTCTAAAATTTGACTTTAAGACGATTGGAAATTTTAAAGTTTAAATTGTTTGAAATCGATAGGTGCTTTGGTTTTTGCGGTAGTGCTTAAATTCCGCGAGGTTTCCTACACATATTTTCCATGAATTGCGACAGCGCTTCAAAAAATATACATATACGTGTACAACGCATTTAACATTCCCTGGAAATCATGCGTGATCTTTATTCTATAAAACGATCGAATTATGGGTCAACTTCCATAATCCACAATAGAACATTTATAACTCTTTTTTTGCAATTCTGTGCATTTCACAGCCGACGACTCTTGTATTTGAATTGTAAATTCTGTCCAGATTTCTATCTAAAAGATGTTATTTCCTTGTGTGACTTCTGTCACATTTCACTTGATGTGGTATAATACAAACATTCCTGGTATGGCTTCTATAGAAAAAGATATCTCAATATCAATTACCTGTAGTTTAATTTTTATAGGAACTTTTTTTCTAGGATACGTTCATTTGTCCTAGTTTTTTTTAATATGTTGGCATGTTGGTATTTTCTTGTTGTTTTTCATTATTATTATTATTATCAGCGATATGTTATCATACAAAATTGTGCCCTATCTTCCATCTAGACGTATTTGATGCTCGTTAGTTTGCCTATTGCTTCCATTATTGTATGCCTTGTTCTCATTTGAGAGTGTGACTTTACTTACTTGGACTGACCAAGATTTGTATTGCGGGTGTCGTCGATGTAGCAAAAGATGCTTTCTTTTCCGGAACACCTGGTCTTATTTCTCCTGTACTTTCCAGGAGTCTCCGTGTAAATATTTCTTTGTTCATATTTTGACCAAGGTTTATGGAATTTGAGTTTGAATTATAATAATGTTGTCATGTTGGTATTTTCTTGATGTTTTTGTCCCAGCTACCAGAGCTGTTCGTGTCATGAATTATATATATGATTTATAATGCTGGATTATTTCGTTTGTTGGAAAGGGTTTATCGTCCGCTTTTACCGACGTTCATGTATACAAGTGTTGAGTGGGTTACTCTTGTTGAGTCTCGGTTGTGAAATTTCAATTCGTTGTTTGAGTGTAACCGAGTCTCTGCAACGGCTTTGATCACAGCGTAGCACAAGGGATGTCTCAGATTTAATCAAGGCAGGCTTCTTCTCTCCGATACTGTCTCTCCGCAAAGTAGCCTCCTTCGCAGAAACGCATTTTCATCATTGCGTTGTACACAAGTACTCTCTCCGCAGAAGTTTCGTGTTGGTATAACGGCGAGACGCAAGATACATGTACTGAAACACACTTCTTGACTCTTTTCTTTAAGACATTTTCTCCGACAAAGGAAACACGAAAGAAGACAAAGCGGTTTGTTGGACATGGGGGATAGTTGAACAACGTGCACAATAAAACAAAATAAAACAATCACGTGTACATCGTTACTTTCTCCGGATAATGCAGCAGTGTAAATATTCAGTCTGTTCTCTTCAGACGCTTTTTTATGTAGATTTTTTTAACACTGTTAAACGCTTCGTAATATTCGGCATTCATAGTGTAGCAGTTTTCCATTCCTTCCATCGTATCTGAACTCCTGACCCGGAAGAATTGACAAAAATCCGCATTCAAAACATCGTTTGTTCTCCTTAAACATAGAACTATTTTATGTATTTATTTGTTTGTAGAGACTGTTTTGGTTGATTTTTTACAGTCTTTTTTTTATTAGTTATGTGTATTTGGATACTAGAATGTCATACCTTTTTAGATATATTGATAGGTACACTGTGGAATATATATGACAAGAACGTAAGATGGTGTAACTACCTGAACATTCTGTCCGTAAAATATGATTAAAATCAATTGAAATATGAAGCCCGTGTGGTGACATCGATGATTTTATTAGATAAATATATACATAGATATGTCACAATCTATGAGCTGCCGAGGTCGGGATGTAGCAGAGTATCCAGGGCCTGGGATGCCTGGCCCTGTACGCCGGCCTGAGCCTGGTCTGCAAGTAAACATACAATATATACCATTAAGGTTCGGTAAGATAACATAACTGCAACAAAGATTAAATAAACAGTGACCAGACACTCCAAGGTCAATAAGGATATTTTTACAGTAAGTATACTCAAATTACATTACCCGGATAGGTACTACGGCATTAAAATGATAATAATAAAGTAGAGAGCTGGCTGACCGATGCATACAGTGAACATATGTAAAGTTGGCAGTCAAAATCATCATCAAAAAAAAAAAAAAAAATACCGAAAATTTAGAAAATTATCTCATACACAAATTCGATAAAACTAGAGCAAAATATGAAAGAAAGAATAATTCACACGGAGACCATAAACAAGGAGAGTATAGATCATAGGTGCTCCAGATTGGCAATAGTCTTCTGCTTTATCGACTTCACAAGCCATCTAAATCTTGGTCAACCAAAGTAGTTAATGTCACGTGATCAAATGAACAATGCAAATAACAACAGATACGTTAGGAATATCAACGAGCATCAAATACGTCCACGTTTATATCGCAAACGATAATGGCAGCAACATGACGACATTTCTATAATAGTTTTCATCATGCATCTTTCAAAATTCAGTGTAGCGAGTTGGTATGTCATTTATCGACATCATGCAAGGAAATAGTGATATTAGGAACAAGGCCTTGAATATTGAATCAACAGTGACATGTAAACATCTTACTAGCAAAACTGATACCAGATCTCAGTATATTGAATGATGCACGTTTAACAACAGAAACAGTTGTCTTGTTTTGAAACCACTTCCTGATACGGATAGAAAATGAATTGATACTATTGCATGCTGTCTGTCTGATGTATAAAACCTTAATCAAATCTCATTCCTATTGAATAATGCATATTCATTGTTATTGGCATTTGATAAACCAGAGACGCCTTCTTAGTAACTTACTAAAGAGTGTGCTGGCAGAGTTCTGTAAATTTGCAAGTGTTTCCTGACCAGTGGCCAGAAGGGCTGCGCCAGTGTCCTTTATATGGCTGAGGGAATCGGTCAGATGAGAAATGTGGCCGGTCAAAGCTCCAAGTATACCTGTTGATCCTTGTGAGAGTGTGTCGTGGATACCGTTATACGTCTGAAAAAACATTGTTAAAGTAATTGATATCGTGATTTTGCTAGACATCGTTCAGACATGAGTAATCATTGATCCACAAATAGTCACTTCAATATGCATGTGGCAGAACTGTAAATAAAACGACTTTGAGAAAGCGACCAGATACTGATTAATACACTTAATCAAAGATAATTTTGGGGTTGCTTTTAGGAAGTATTCATTGACGTCAATTTTATGTGAGAATAACGTCATGAGAATTTCAGATATTGCCAACAATAGTGACACGATGTGCCGAAACCGTGTGGACCAGGTAATATTGATGTCATACCGACATACAACCTTTTGTTAAAATCCATAAAGAGAAATGTTTCAAGTTCAAGTTAGATCATGCAAGCATGTTTTATTTTTGTATTGATGTATTGTAAACGACAAATTAATAATTTATATATGTCGATGACATATATAGTTTGGTGAACTGTTTTGGCTTTTTAATAGACTTAATAGACACATATTCATGAATATCAGAGATCTTTTTCGCAGTTTCCTTTACTGAAAACGAAACAAAAGTCTTTCTGATTCAACACAGGACAACTTTTCTATCAAACAAATATATTACTACGACCCCACCCCTCCACACAGCAAGCTAGTATACTTCTTGAAGATGAAAAAATGTATATACTTGAATTTTTCTGTAACAGGTTTCAATACAGCACCGAAAAGTCCTATATCGGTACTTGACAGAGCAGTGATATCACGTAAGGATTAAATTTAATCTGCAATAATTTACAATATATATATATAACAGCAACACACAAATCTATAACAAAAAATCAATTAAAAAAAAAAAAAAAAAGCCTGATAGAAAATTCATCATCACAAAGTCGCGTTTAGTTCATTGTCGATAGCCTTCACGCACACAAATACATGGAAAAGGACTTGTTTTTTTTATGTTCAAAGAACCAGAGCCCTGTAAGCCTCCCTTTGCCTGCAGTAGCTGAATGCACTCGCTCTTCTGCATGTTAGCGCCATTACTTTACATCTCACTATAAATAATACTAATGATGACTTTGAAACGAAATCTCCATTGAGACATTTTTAAAATATTGATTTATCTTGTGAATGTTTCAGTCAGTTGGAACAAAATGAGCTATGAAATACATTCACTAGGTTTGCATTACCGAAATGAATGATGTTCTGTTAAAATCACCGTAAGTTTATCTCTGATTCCCGAACTAGACCCCATCCGCGGTCAAAGGTCGAAATACCACAAGAAATAAAGTTGATTCATTGAAGAGAGTGATACGGACAGGAACAATATGCAACAAGTAAGACATTAGTGTCACAAAGAATGTCCGTAATAAGCCAAACATATATAACATTTTAGTGAATAGTCTTTAGACATGTGAAAGAATAAACAAACAAAACAAAATGGGAAAAATTTGGCAAAACCAAAGTCTAAACTAAACGAAAGTAAAAAAAGTACAAAAAAACAATACAATGAAGAACTGAAACTTAAAACAGATCTGTGTCTTGTTATAACATATGTCCAAAAATCTGCTCTGTTCATGACGGCATTACAAAAAAGTTGGATTATTGTGACTGATGGACAGACAGACAAACACACAGATAGTCACACAGACAGGAATCCTAAGATGTCCCATCCCGGTAAAAGAAATGGTAAACGTCATCATAGAATTCCATTTTGAAGACTTCAGCTCACCTCCTTCAACTTGTCCACAGTTGAGCCAAAGAGTCCAGACAGTCCTGAGAGGAGTCCAGAGTCTGCAGTCTGTCTCTTGTGGGTGGACAAAGCTTGCTGGACACTAGTCACGATGTTGTCCAAGGCAGTATTGTGTACCACTGTAATAAACAAACGCATTGACTTCACCAACGTCGCATTTGTCTCATATATGATTAAATTACACAGGAAGTTTAGTAACATCGTTTCAACTGTATGAATAGCAAATATTTATAGACAAGATAACGAAACTAAGACAACACTCGCAATTCTGTAAAAAATCATTGACATCATCTATTTCTGAAATACCGCGAATGTTTTTATTTTGTAGGGAACTAGCTTTCAATACCGCTGATAATACGTATGCTTTCCTTAAATCCTGTTTATAACACATACACTTTGAATGTTGCATGTCAGCGAAGAACTGGTTGAGGTCTCCTTTCAGGTAATTAAGGCTAGCGATTTGCTCGTGGAAATGTTGCAGCTCGGTGGCGTACTTGTCGAGTACGTGCTGTACGGCTTGAGCGCCGTGGCTGATCACTTCTTGGACCGAGGGTTCCTGTCTGGTTTTGTAATGAAAAGACAGCACAAAATATTCACAAATGAGAAACAAGTGACAGTATAGATTTAGATAAGTCAATGTTAAATACTAACACCGTTTAAAACATGCCTAACAATTCTGAATTTACGTCACACTTATTGCATTTGAGTCGTTATGGATTTACTTTAAGTAACACCAAGTCGTAAAAGTTTTGTTGTCTTATTCCTGGAGTGAAAAACTGACGTAAGCATTTCAATAACTGTTAAAGGTTAGTAACAAGATTGTAACTCACGGGTGTTCACGTTTTCCCAATAAGGCGGCGAGCGCGGCATGCTCGGCAACTGAGGATGTGTGTAATTAGAAAGTACCAATCATGCTACTAAAGGAATCTATCGAGGGCAGATATATTTGACAACAAAATGATTTAACACTTCGAGATCAATGCGTGTAATAAAGATATTGAATTTAATGTAAATATTTTCAATGGTTTTCGAGGTTAAGATTTGATACTGCACTACTAGTGGATTGTTATATCAAAGTCTTTAGTATGTAAATGTATCTCTATATTGTGGCTTAATCTTTCACTAAGCCTTATGGAACCTAGGATATCAAATAATACATAAAGTTATAATATAAAGCTTTGACTACGTTTTCTATTATCTTGGTTCGGATTTCTACATAGAGTGAGTTTAACATAATGTATCGGTATATGGTAAGTTGTTGGTCTGGCCTAATGGCTATAAATATATATATATATATATATATATAAGATCATCATTACCTGGGACAACCACGTGGGACATGATCTGACCAACGTCTCCACTAGTGAGGGTGCTCAGGGTAGAGGAAGCTGCAGACGTAAGTCCGTCCTTCACACTGGTTAAGGCTCCTGATAGCGAGTCAAGGAATCCGGCGCTGGCCCCAGCCAACAGGCAAGCAAGAAGGAACAGCTTCATGGTCTAAATCTGATTTATGAGAGATAGCGCAGTACAATATAAGAACTCTGAAGAAAGTCAAGGGAGGATCTCAGTGTGATCAAAATAAAACATTAATTTGGAAACAAACACAAAGAAGACCGGACTACCCATATACAGTTACGGAAGATGAACACGGACAACGATATTTACTCTCATGGTATGACAACAGTTGTGGCTACAGACAGTTTAATGTCATTTTTAAGTAATATGGAAATGGTTAAGAGTGTGTCTGTCCATGGGAGATGCATGAAACATATTGTAGTGTAGTTAGAGTTATCTTCCTTGTAACAGCGCTAATCGTCAAATTACCGTTGATGCTACTAACACTTTGGCGATATATTCAATTATTTTGTGTTTTAAATAATAACATTTTAGGTCCTTAACAACCTAGAGGATATTTACGGCTTTAAATATAGGTATCAATATAATACTATTAATAAAAATATTTCGGAACTAGTTTCATTTTGTCGAAAATGAAATGAACGATATTCTGAAAAAGATGTTTGTAATACATCATGTACCAACCCGAATTTTTGTTTTTTAAAAGTTCACCCGTGCAATTATTTCATATGCAAAATCCTAATTTGATTAAAAATTCATTTAATGTGAATGTTCTAACAAAGTCTTACAGTAAAGTTATGTAACAAACTAACTAGAAACTGATTAAGAGAGATAAATGATTTGGCTAAATCTCCCTGAATAACCTGGTAGAAAATAAATTGGTTATTTGAACAAATACATACTTTTGTGTAGATGTCCGCCCGAGCTCTACTCTGATTAAGTGCCTCGTATATGACGTATATATACTGGACAGCCTGGGAACCAACAGGTGCGGTTCACCAAGGTCAGCGGCCCGGCACGACAATCTTCTATTGTGGGTTTGGAAAAACGAACTCTAAACAGAGCAGTTACTAGACAGAAATCTTAGAGTTAAAACAAGATAAAAGGGTGTTTTCATAACAATGATTAGTTGAAAACATCTCGTTTTACAGTACCTATTGTATTTGGATAATTCTAAGTAAGTATCGATAACATGGTTGCTCAGGAAGACGACCTGGATTATTTCAGGCGTTTTATGATGTTAGTGTATCAGTCATGCATCGAATGTCTTCATATGAAACTAAAACAAAACAACGGCTGCTACAATGAACCAACTTTTCATGTACTTCTCTTAACGTTTTAGTTATGCACCATTCAAAGTATTTACATCGTAGTTGTCTCTGTTATCAACAGTGAAGAAAACAATAAGATATTAAGATCATACCTTGTCTAGCCAACAGAATGAAATATCGTAATCATATCTAGTCCAAACGTAGCCATCAAAACGAAACAGAAACATGATACCTAGTTCAACTGGCGTCAATATACATACAAAAATTAATCCTGTCCAAACGTAGCCTATCTGATAGAATGTTAAAATCATGCCTAGTCCAGCCGTAACCGTTATAACAAAACACATGTGTTAAACCGTAGTCAATATAACGAAATATTAATATCATACCTAATCCAACCGTAGCCAATATAACGAAGTATTAATGTCATACCTAATCCAACCGTAGCCAATATAACGAAGTATTAATATCATACCTAATCCAACCGTAGCCAATATAACGAAATATTAATATCATACCTAATCCAACCGTAGCCAATATAACGAAATATTAATGCCATACCTAATCCAACCGTAGTCAATATAACGAAGTATTAATGTCATACCTAATCCAACCGTAGTCAATATAACGAAGTATTAATGTCATACCTAATCCAACCGTAGTCAATATAACGAAATATTAATATCATACCTAATCCAACCGTAGTCAATATAACGAAGTATTAATATCATACCTAATCCAACCGTAGTCAATATAACGAAGTATTAATGTCATACCTAATCCAACCGTAGTCAATATAACGAAGTATTAAGATATTGATAAATCAACCTTCGCCCTTATAACAAAAAAAAAAAAAATAAGATCATATCCAGTCTAAATGCATTGCTTAGTGGACACAGTAATTGTATGGTCGGTCCCCACGCCAATGTTGTTTGTATAGTACTTTGCGCTGCCGTCTTGTGGATCAGCGTTATTTAAGTCACACAAGGACTTCTGGACCCGTTTGCAGTATAATGTAACCTAGTGGACTGTCATGCTAAAGCAAGGATATGTGATTCATTATGATAACACTATATAAAGTATATTAATGGCTTTATCATCCGTGAAAACGGTTTGTTGTGGCCCTGTCGGTTGTGTTCAGATTTTATTATTTTTTTTAAAGAAGTCTTTGCTTGCTAAATTTTACCGAAGCCGATAACGCTCTCCGTGACCTGATTTATACTATGGTATGGCTTTGTGTCAATCATTATCTCTGCCAATGTTTTCTATCACACCACAAGATAGTCTGACGATTGAAACACTTGAGAACAGCTGCCTGAAAACACAGTTATGTAAACCTTTGTTTAAAAACAACAAGGAACATACAGACATGCCAAAAGATAAAAGAACGATAGGCTTTCTGACTAATTACTTGATCTTGTAATCGATCTCACAATAATTTTTTGAAGTATATAATGTCCTGTTTGTGTGGAAGTCATTGAAGGTCACTAAAGGGCGATAATTCAATCTCTGTAGGATATCAGTCCATCACAGCCAGTCTGAATACAACAGAGAAAGATAAAAATATCCCAGTAATCAATTATTGTAGGAAAGGTAAATCTCAAGCAAAGACACGTTTTATTTCGTACTTACGGATCGGTGTAGCCTTCCTGGAAAACCGACAAAATCCAATATTTCATAGTAACACTATGTGACGTAGCATGCAACTAATATTGGATTCTAGATCACAAAATGAGATTTTTTACCAGTTCCTTGAATCAGACAAAATAATTTTGATATTTTGTATCCTTTCATCCTTTTTATAGACACAATGCTACTAAATCAATGTACAAGTACGATGCCTTTTTCGGAGTGATTGTCGAGAATGACTGGAAAAGTGAAAATTGAAAATAAAGATGCTTCCCACACCAGTCTATTGTGTTATAGAATGAAAGGAAGATATTTATCAGGAAATTATTTGATTTATTTCTTATTACATTTTAAGGTGTCGAACATGTCGTGGGAAAAAAGTACTTTTTAGGAGTCATTTTAAATTATTGCAATTTATATAAAGCACGCCTCTGATTTGTTAATCAAGTAAATAAAACGTTACATCATATCAGCGATGGTTTTGCAGAAAATTTTATTATAAGTTTTTATCATTTCTGATACACAATTTTTTACAGATGATATTCGTAGGGATTACGCGGTTTTACATAGTAAGGGAGACAACTCGAGAAGCTCGTACATGGACTAGGCCGTTTACAACCAACTGCATAACAAACGACACCGTAACAAAATCAATATGCAGAATCGTATCACATCATTACTTCCCTTCGATTCACTACATCTACAGAGATGAGCTTGATATCCGATAGTTGCCGGAAAAGAACATTTCATGTTCACACGTGCAAAATTCAATGAATGATTGAGATTTTTTTTCACGTAACTACAAAGCAGTTTATAGTGATATTACTATCGTGTAACTTACAGACATTAAATGAGCATTAGTATATCACAGCCTAGTGCGATTAAAACATGTCATTAAAATTTACACATTTAAAGGGGAAAAAGACAAAGTTGCTTTAAGATATGACACTTTACTTAACATCACAAATAACGGGAAAAAATAGTTTGATATATAATAGATTGAATAATATCACGGGTTTACTAAGGCCCCCTGAGTCACGACACTATCGTATCAAGTAGACCACATACAAGGTTTATACTAGACTGTTTAGTAGAGAGATCCACTGGATATGTTATGATGATAAAACACTTTACGGCACAAAGAACATTAGCACTTGTCACCATTCCAGTACGGTATGAGTTTTTGTAAGTCTTTAAAAGGCTTAGATGTCTTGTCATGATCTTTTCAATCCATTCATATACATGTTATAGTAATAAAACGATAAAAAGTGTTGGTTTTAGGGACATCAACAAGTTTATTGTACCTTAAAAGTGCGATGAGGGTTTCTTCCTGAATAAAATGTTTAGGGGAAAAAACAAAAAACCAAAAAAAGAGAAGGTTTTTAGGCCTAAATCTATGGACGTAAAGGGTAGCAAAATGTTTTTAAAGTAGTATCTCATAAAGTGTTGAACTCCGGATACATACATTTTAATGTTCTGAAATGGAGTTTAAGCATCTATATGTTTTCGTAACTTAAGAAATGACAAAATGTGTCGAATGATAGCATTTATACCGAAATGATGATATCATTTGAGAATCAATAGTTTTATTGAAGGTATAACTTAATATTGTGGAATAACCAGTACTTATCATATTGTACAGTAACGTGTAGCTTACCACATGCTCAATGCGTATACCGTTGTTGATCATATTTCTCTGTTTATCATATAAGGATGTTAATCGGCAGACGTAGTTTAGGTAATTTCCGGGACACAAGTTTACAAATTCTGTTTCAGATATTCCTTACTTACACTACTTAAGGTTTGTTGATGGAACTGTATAGATTTGAATGTAAATAAATGAAGAAAATCACATAGAGGGTTATGACGTTTATTTCGATGAAGTTTTATTTGTATAAACTAAAAAATAGAGAGATTTATATGTGATTTTAGTATGCAAACTATAGTAATCGATTTCGATCAATACACTGTACATAACTTGCTCGATCGAACTTCAGTCTGGTTCCTTTTAATGAATCGATGCTTCGATCATAGTAAAAAGACTACCAATCTCATTGAACGAACATTTCATATGAAAATTTTGTGACTTGATATGCCACCTAGAACGTACCAAAATCATACCGCATATATCTTTGTTTTTCATTATTTACTTTCGTGCGAATTTCATCAAATGAGCCCAAACGGTTGAGTGAGTATAGCAATGTCCGTGTTCCCATTCAATTGTGATTCCTCTTATTT